TGGGCTCAATTCGGGCCTGTCCCTCTACAGGAGGAGAATTCCGAACTAGTAAACAAGAGTTTAGGGACGATGATTGGATATCTTTGAAATTATTTCGAGGGTATTCTTAAGATTTCGTCCCAAATCCGGCTGCAGGGGGACATGCCCGACCTAAGACTGGACATGTGCTGACGCGTGGCGTGGAGCGACTTGATCGGGGGCGGGGGGCGGGGGCGGTAAGCGGCGTGCGAGGAGGGCTGGACGTGCCGCCGTCCAGAGCGGCACGGGGCAGTGCTGTTGGGCAGCTCGGAGAGGTGTGTCGAGGCCGGAGTTATGTTGAATGTGTTGGCAAGAGAGATATACAGGGGGATGGGTAGGATGAGGACGAGGACGAATAATAGCAAGAGACCAGGGCGCCCTATCTGGCTTTCGGGTCGTGTCTCGTTCCTGAACTGTGGGGCGGCGGGAGGCCATGATGCCATGATGACTCATCACAACTCCTGCTCCCGATTGCCTGCCTGCGCAAGTAGGTTTTTGATCAGCTTACTCAGTGTCTTATGCTGCGCCCTCAAGATGAGGCCATCTGTTTCTCCCAGTGGCTCCTCGCGCGCTGCTTTCTAGCCGGCTTTCATGGCGGTGGTTACATAATCGGGCCATTTTGCATGATGAACTTGTTGACCACATCTCTGGCCGAGTCGGCATTGGCCGAGTTTTCAGTGTTCGAGTAGGCCCTGAGCAATTATCGTGCTACTTGCCGCAGCAGGCTCGCACGCGCCAAGTTTGCCTCTCGACGCTTTCCGCCCTCCTCGCCAGCTCCACGTTGTATGGCTCAGCATGTTAGCAGTCCCTCCGCCGTGGTGTCTTTCCCGGGCCCTCGCTTCGCCCGTTCTGTGGCCCTCGTTCGGTCCCCACTCGCCCCTGTGCGATGCAGCACACGGGAGCTAGCGCTTGACTCTGACACACGGCCAAAACAAGAAGGATGTTAGCCCCCCCCCCCCCCCCCCCACAGCTGCGGTTGCAATCGCTTGAACAGCAGGTCGGCTTTCCAGATCAAGGATATCATCGGGCCACGTGGCCCTCGGGGATGCATTGTGCATTTTCGCGTGTCCTAAACCAAGCTCGACTCCAAGAGTAAGGGGTCGTCCCAGTTGCCTGCCGCATGGCGCCGCTGCTGTTTTTGGAGGCAGTGTGGGTGTTTCGGCCCGGCGCAGGCCCTGATTTGATTGAGAGTGTTTTCGTTGCTCTACCCTCTGGGCCATCACGTGCATTATGCTCCCTCCCCTCCCGCCCCCCCTCTCCGCCCCCCCATGCAACGCAACGCTCCCCCCCTCAGTGCGCCCCCGGCACTGCCGCAGTGCGTCTGGCACCACAGTCTGGGCGAGGGGGGCGCTGCGTCATGTCCGAGGAGGCTGATGAGGAGGGAGGAGGGGTTGACGTAACTCGGCGGTGAGCGAGGGGTGGAAGTGAGAAGGAGAAGGCCTTCTCAGAAGGCGGCAGGACTTCTCAGAAACCATCGCGCCTTCTGAGAGGCTTTTTGTCTCTTTGGGGAAGGCTTCGACAACTTAGAAGGCCGGGGCTCCCGTCCCCCCCCTACCTCCCCCCCTATGCAGCCCGTAATGGCCGCGAACAAAAAACGTGCGCTCGCTGAAGCAGTGCAGCGTGGTGCGCGGGGCGCGACGTGCTCCCTCGTGGCCCTGCAGGGGCGTGTTGGTGGCGGGAGGGGGTGCTTTTTGGGGGGAACGGTGGGCCTCCAAGGCCGTGTGGGGTCAGGGGTCGTCGCGGAGCGCGTTTCGGTGCCCCCACTGGGCGCCCTCTGGGCGCCTTTGGGGGCTGTCTGGGCCCGTCTTTTCCAAGAAGCGTCGTCGTCGCCGTCGTCGCCGTTGTCGCCAGCGTCGTCGTCGTCGTCGGCGTCGGCGTCGGCTTCTGGGGGTTGTCTGGGTCCGTCTTGTCCCTCTGGCCTCCATGGCGCCACCGAGATCCTTCGAGCTGTCCTGCGGCCTTCTTGGGCCGTTTTGGGGGCCCTCTGGGGCCATCTCTGAAGTCTCGATGTATTCTTTGCTTCTGGGCGGATGTTTTGAGCACTCTTGAGTCTGCCTTGAGTTAAGATGGGCCTGTCCCTCTACAGGAGGAAAATTCAAAAATAGGAATAGTCGGGGGACGATGTGTTCACCATTTTTGATTTTTACCTAACAGCGAAGACTGATAGGTTTCTAGTAGTCTTAAAAGAGAGCAGCAGATGACTCCACAGGGGGGTCTGGGCGGGTGCCGGACAGGGTGCCGCAAAAGTCGTTTTAAGCAAACAGTCACACACTTCGTGCTCTTCGACCTCCCAGAACTCCATTCCCGGGCCACATTCTGAATGCCCGGAGCCAACTGTAGGCCACTTCGTGCTCTTCGACTTCCCAGAACTCCATTCCCGGGCCACATTTTGAATGCCCGGAGCCAACTGTAGGCCACTTCGTGCTCTTCGAGTTCCCAGAACTCCATTCCCGGGCCACATTTTGAATGCCCGGAGCCAACTGTAGGCCACTTCGTGTCTTCGAGTTCCCAGAACTCCATTCCCGGGCCACATTTTGGATGCCCGGAGCCAACTGTAGGCCACTTCGTGTTCCCAGAACTCCATTCCCGGGCCACATTTTGAATGCCCGGAGCCAACTGTAGGCCACTTCGTGCTCTTCGAGTTCCCAGAACTCCATTCCCGGGCCACATTTTGAATGCTGAGGCAGGCTGATGCTGCGGCTGAGGAGGCTGATGGCTCGAGGAGGCTGAGGCAGGCTGAGGCTGAGGCCGAGGCTGAAGGCAGACTGAGGCTGAGGCTGAAGCAGGCTGAGGCTGAGGCTGAGGCAGGCTGAGGCTGAGGCTGAGGCAGGCTGATGCTGAGGCAGGCTGAGGCTGAGGCTGAGGCTGCAGGCTGGCTGAGGCAGGCTGAGGCTGAGGCCGAGGCTGAAGGCAGACTGAGGCTGAGGCTGAAGCAGGCTGAGGCTGAGGCTGAGGCAGGCTGAGGCTGAGGCAGGCTGAGGCTGAGGCTGAGGCAGGCTGAGGTTGAGGCTGTGACTGCGACTGCCGTTGCCGCTGCGACTGTCATCGCGAATGCGACTACGACTGCGAGAACAGCAGAATTCTACAACTGGATTTTCATTTGAATCTTAAGGGGAATGCTTTCAGATATGCTTCTACACATCGCTGTTAGGTTGCTTTGCCGGGATAATGTGTTTGATACTTTCTGTGCATGTTTGAATTATCTCTCCAAAATCCGCCTTTACAGGGGGACAGGCCCGACCCAAGTCTTGAGGGCCGAAGTGGCTGGGAAGCGAGCTGTGCCCCAGGAGTTTTTACCTAACAGCTTGTTCTGATAGGTTTCTAGTGGTGTCAAAAGAGAGCAGCAGATGACTCCACAGGGGGGTCTGGGCGGGTGCCGGACAGGGTGCCGCAGAAGTCGTTTTAAGCAAACAGTCACACACTTCGTGCTCTTCGACCTCCCAGAACTCCATTCCCGGGCCACATTCTGAATGCCCGGAGCCAACTGTAGGCCACTTCGTGCTCTTCGACCTCCCAGAACTCCATTCCCGGGCCACATTCTGAATGCCCGGAGCCAACTGTAGGCCACTTCGTGGTCTTCGAGTCCCCAGAACTCCATTCCCGGGCATTTTGAATGCCCGGAGCCAACTGTAGGCAGAGTTCCCAGAACTCCATTCCCGGGCCACATTTTGAATGCCCGGAGCCAACTGTAGGCCACTTCGTGCTCTTCGAGTTCCCAGAACTCCATTCCCGGGCCACATTTTGGATGCCCGGAGCCAACTGTAGGCCACTTCGTGCTCTTCGCCCAGAACTCCATTCCCGGGCCACATTTGGATGCCTTGGGCACCGGAGCCAACTGTAGGCCAGGCCCTTCGTGCTCTTCGAGTTCCCAGAACTCCATTCCCGGGCCACATTTTGAATGCCCGGAGCCAACTGTAGGCCACTTCGTGCTCTTCGAGTTCCCAGAACTCCATTCCCGGGCCACATTTTGAATGCCCGTAGCCAACTGTAGGCAACTTCGTGCTCTTCGACTTCCCAGAACTCCCATTCCTGGCCACATTTTCAGCAGGGGCAAGAGCACGACGAGGAGGAGGACGAGCAAGACCAGGAGGACGAGGACGAGCAGGAGCAGGACGAGGAGCAGGAGGAGCAGGAGAAGAAGGACGAGCAGGAGGAGGAGGAGGACGAGCAGGAGGAGGAGGACGACCAGGTGGAGGAGGACGACCAGGAAGAGGAGGAGGAGGAGGAGGAGGGAGGGGGAGGACTACCAGGGATGAGGAGGAGGAGGAGGAGAGAGGGAGGAGGAGGAGGAGGAGGAGAGGAGGTAGGAAGGAGGAGGAGGAGGAGGAGGAGGAGGAGGAGGAGGAGGAAGAGGAGGAGGAGGAGGAGGAGGAGGAGGAGGAGGACGAGGAGGAGGAGGAGGGGGGGGGAGAGCTGCCTTTTCGTCGAGATGCTGTTCGACCCAGAGATGCTCCTACACATGGCTGTTAGGTTGCTTTGCCGGGATAATTTTGTTAGATCAGTGATCCCAGCGTGGATCCCGAATTGTTCGGTCTCGTGTAACCAATCGCCATCCCCATCCCCATCCCATTCGAGACCCCTACCAAATTAGCCCCACAGTTGGGGATACACCCTTCGAAACCCGAAGGGGACGGCCTATATCCCCATCTAGGGGGGTAAATCGGCCAGTGGGGCCCAGGCCACGCCGCTGGGGAGTGGGACTGGTTAACCGATATTCAATTGCGATTCAGAGTTGACTGCCGTCCCGGGTGGCGCAGTGTGAAGCCATATGCGGCGCCGCGCTGTGCCACGCAGAGCCAGGCAGCGCAGGGCACTTCGGACGGCAGCGGGGCGACAGGGGGGCGACCGCGGGGGGGCAGCGGGGCGATCGCGCGCCGAAGATCGGGAAGCCGCAGCCGGGTCCTCAGCAGACAGGCTGAAGCCCCCTGAGCTGCGAGCATCTTCGTGGGGGCAAGTGCTGTGCGATCTTAGCCTGGTGGGTCCTCTCTTGCCACCGTCCCGTTCCTCCCTCCTCTTTCTGCCGTGGTCCCAGCGCCACTGCCCGCATGCACCGCGGGTCAGGTTAAGTTATATTCAGTCTGTGTTGCCTGAGCAGCGGCGAGACCCGCCCCTGCAATCCACGAGGGAAGAACGGACTGCACGAACACACGGCAGGTCCGTGCCGTGCCGACCCGCGGCAACCCCGCCGCCGGCAACCGTGGAACGCCGGCGGCGGCCCAGAATCGGTCGATAAGGGCGTTGCGTAATGGAGGGGTCATAAATGGGGGGATGTCGCGGGTGGTCCGAAAAGGTACCTAAACGTTACCTAAACGAGCCCCCTGGGGCTCCAGAGGGGCCCGAAAGGGGCACGAAAGGGGACCGTTTCTGACCCCCCCATGTATGACCCCCCCACTAAGCCACGCCCAAGTCGATGTTGAACGATCGGACGTTGCGGAAACGGCCGGTCATTCAAGATAGAAGAGGAAACATCGCGAGAAAGGCTTTCTTTTTGGCGCTCCGCGCGGATTTCTGGGATCTGCGCTGGACTCCCCTCCCCGGCGCGCGGTGCGCGCCGGGGGCGGCGCCGGAGGCGCCGCCAGGCGGGCCCGGCGGGGATCCAGGAAATCCGCGCGAAGCGCCAAACAGTGTACAGTCGAGGCTGACTAGTAGGTCGACCCTGCCAAATCAAGGGTGCCCTTGTGCCTTGCGTTTCGCGGCCCATGCCTTCCTACGTTCCTGTGGCACCGTGGCCCTCGGAAGTGTCTTGTGCCCTCTCCTGTGCCCTCTGAAGGCGATCCCTCCTCCTCCCCCCCCCCCCCCCCCCCCCCCCCCTCCTCCTCGCCTCCCCCTCTGTTCCTCCTCCTTCCTCCTCCGCCTCCTCCTCCTGACCCTCCCCCCTCCTCCTCTGCCTCCTCCTCCTTTTCCCCCTCCTTCTCCTCCCCCTCCCCCTCCTCCTCCTCCTCCTCCTCTTCCTCCTCCTTCTCCTTTTCCTCCTCCTCCTCCCCCTCCTCCTCCTCTTCCGCCTCCTCCTCCTCCTCAATCGGCCCCGCCGATTTTTCTTCTTCTACACGGTGGAACGATGCCCAGCATGCCAGGAAAGGCCCGCGCCGCAGACGGCACGGCACGAGCCTGCCGCAATTAGTCTTCAGTCGGGCCTGCCCCTCTACAGTCGGGGGTAGACAGAACCCCCAACAGTGACACGTCGATTAGTGAATTGTCCGTTTTCGGTTCTCGAGAGGGCGCCGTGGCCGTTATTTTCCAGGCTTGCGCCCGCCAGGTTTGGGCCTTAGGTCGTTTTCACTAAACCACGTTTTACTAAAGGGGGGTCTGTCCATCCCCGATACAGGAGGAATACTCAAAACTGGTCAAGGAATAGCCCGGGGACGATTTCTCTATTATAATCGAGCATGTTTTGAATCTGTTTTTCTGGAGGTAGGAAAGGGGTGTGGCATAAAGGGGTATGGTGCCAATCGTGGAAATGGCGATGCTATCTGCGATCAATCACATCGCCAGAGTCCCCTTTACATGAAATTAGCACCACACCCCTTTATACCATACCCCTTTCCTACCTCCAGGGTTTTGGGTATTTGTCAATTTCCGTGCAGAGTTCGCCCGTAGGGGGACACGCCCGACCTGAGATTAGACTCTTCGGAGCTCCGCGCGGGCGTCACCGAGTCGGCGTTAGGGCCCCCTCTCGGCGTTGGGCCCCCTCGGCGGCCGCCCGCTGCGCGCGCGATGGCGCGCCGGGGAGGGGGGGGGGCCTCAGGGTTCAGTCGGGCACGTCCCTCTATCGGGGGAGCGTAAGACCCGGGTTTGCCAGGACTCGGGTTCGCCATTTTTTTTTTGACGACCGCGGCTCGGATTTTGACGAGTAGGAGTTTCGTGGGATGTCTGCAGCGGGAGGCCTCGTCAAAAGGCAGGCTCGGCCTCGTCATTTTTTTGACGACCTCGTCGGGGATTTCCGAGTCCCCCGTACCCGGGTCTTACGTCTCCCCGAAAGAATAGTCAACCGATAGCCTGGGGACGATTTCTCTAGTCCTTAACCATGTTGGACCATGTGTGGATTACTGTTGCATTTGTCTTGGCACATCCGCCTGCTCGAGGACATGCCCGACCTCACCTCACCGCCGAGAGCCGGGAGATCCGCGCGAAGGTTCGAAGGTTTATGTTTGTTCAGGTTGTGATTCCCCCACGTCCGAAGAAGAAAAACGGCATCAGCTTAAACGTTTAGCGCTCCGTGCGATTTTTTTGTTGGATCCGCGCTGGGGCTCCCCCCGCGGCGCTTGCGGCGCCGCCCCCGGCGCGCTCCGCGCGCCAGGGAGGGGGGGCCCAGCGCAGATCCAAGGAATCCGGGAACCTGGGCGGAGAGCCAACAGTTTGTGTTTATGCCGTTGTTTTTCTTCTATACGTTCTCCAGGATGCCGCAGCGGCTCTTTATTCTACAGGCGAGCAATATGATTAGATAGGGTAGCTCGGCCCTCCGATTTCCCTGCAGAGCTTGCGAGGGCGAGCCAGGGGCGACCGCGGGGGCCCCCGCGGGGACGCTCCGCACGGGTGCTCGCCGACATGATTGAGCCGTGCGCGCCAATGCTCGCTCCATCCTGGGGCGCCCTCGTCACGGCCATCAGCCCTGCAGTCACTCACCGAGCTCGTTCCCTTACTCGCAGAGTGCCCACTCGCAAGCGTCCGAACAACACATGTTTGCCTCGGTCTCTTGGATCGTAGATCCCCCGCGGTGGAGCCAGGCCATGTGCGAGTAGTTACTTTGCGAGTAGTGGAAGGCCTCTGTCTACATACGATCCTCTGAATTCATGGGGTGGAAATTGGGGGGGGCTTATGTGTATGTGTGTTGTCGGATTGGGGTGCCCGCTCGAATGGGGGCCCGATCAGGGTCCGACAGCCCGCACCCATGCTTGTCCAGCTGCCTGCGGCACGTCCCGCCGCCGTGCCAGCCAATTGTTCTGGGTGTCAACTGTTTGTTCGAGGGGGCACGGGAGGCCGTCACGTGTGAGACCTCGTGTCTTCAGACTTGGGAGAGCCGTGATGAGGATGATGAGGATATTAAGGATGAGACGCGGTGATGATGATGATGATGATGATGATGATGATGATGATGATGATGATGATGATGATGCTGATGCTGATGCTGATGCTGATGCTGATGACGATGATGATGATGATGATGATGATGATGATGATGATGATGATGATGATGATGATGATGATGAAAATGCGCCCGTGGGTCTTCCTGAATACACTAACGGGGGGGGGTGTCGGACCCCCCCCCCTCCCCCCCTTCAAAAGGTGGGAGTCCGAACCCCCGACCCCCTCCCCCCTCAAGGGGGGGGGGTCCCGACTCCTCCCTCCCCCTCCCTTGAAGGGGGGGGGGGCGGTCCGGACCCCTCCCCCCCCCTCCCCCCCTTGGCGCTGGAAAGGGGGGGGGGTCCGACCCCTCCCTTCCCCTCCCCCCCTTTCCGCCGGAAAGGGAGCCGGGGAGGGGAGGCCTCTCTCGCTTCTCCTTTCTGCGCCGGAGAAGGTGTGTAGGGAGTACGAAGTCGGCAGTAGGGAGTGGTGAGTAGTGAGAAGTGAGTTAGTGCGTAGTGAGTAGTGACTAGTGGGTAGTTAGTGAGTAGTGGGTAGTGAGTGGCGAGTAGGGAGTAGGGAGTAGGGAGTGGGGAGTAGTGAGCAGCGAATAGTGAGTAGTGTGTATTGATAAGTGAGTAGTGAGTGGCGAGTAGTGAGTAGTGATTAGAGAGTAGCGAGTAGTGAGTAGTGAGTACTTAGTAGTGAGTAGGGAGTAATGAGTAGTGGGTAGTGAGTAGTGGGTAGTGAGCAGTGTGTGGCGAGTAGTAATTACTGAGTAGTGAGTAGTGGATAGTGCGTACTGCGTAGTGAGTAGTGAGTAGAGAGTAGCGAGTAGCGGGTAGTGAGTACTGAGTAGGGGGTAGGGAGTAATGAGTAGTGGGTAGTGAGTAGTGGGTAGCGAGTAGTGGGTGGCGAGTAGTGATTACTGAGTAGGCAGTAGTGGATAGTGCGTACTGCGTAGTGAGTAATGACTAGTGACTAGCGACTAGTGAGTAGTGAGTAGTGAGTAGTAAGTAGTGAGTAGTGAGTAGCGAGCAGTGAGTAGTGAGTAGTGAGGAGTGAGTAGTGAGTACTGAGTAGTACGTAATGCGTAGTGAGTAGTGAGTAGTGATGAATAGAGAGTAGTGGGTAGTGGCAGTGAGTAGTGAGTAGCGAGTAGGGAGTAGCGAGTAGTGAGTAGTGAGGAGCGAGTCGGGCGTAGTGAGTAGTGAGTAGCGAGTTGAGAGTAGTCCGTAGTGCGTAGTGGGTAGTGCTTAGTGAGTCACGAGTAGGGAGTAGCGAATAGTGAGTAGTCAGTAGGGAGTAGTGAGCAGTGAGCAGTGAGCAGTGAGTATTGCGAAGTGGGTAGCGAATAGTGGGTGGTGAGTAGCGATTAGTGGGTAATGGGTAGTGAGTAGTGACTAGTGAGTAGTGACTAGTGACTAGAGACTATGTAGTGACTAGTGAGTAGTGAGTAGCGGGGAGTGAGTAGGGAGTAGGGAGTAGCGAGTATGGGAGTAGCGAGTAGTGCGTACTCCGTACTGTGTAGTCAGTATCGTGTATGGAGTAGGGAATAGCGAGTAGCGAGTAGTGGGTAGTCAGTAGTGATTTGTGGGCAATGAGTAGTGAGTAGTGGACAGTGGGTAGTGGACATCCTGAGTGATTAGTGAGTAACGAGTAGGGAGTAGTCAGTAGTGCTTAGGGAGTAGTGAGTACTGAGTAGTGGGTAGTGAGGAGTGCGTAGTGAGTAGTGAGTAGGGAGGAGGGAGTAGTGAGTAGGGAGTAGTGAGTAGCGAGTAGTGGGTGTTGGAAGTGAGTAGTGGATAATAAGTAGTGAGCCGTGAGTAGTGAGTAGGGGGTAGTAAGAAGTGAGTAGCGAATAGCGAGTAGTCAGTAGCGGGTAGTGAGGAATGAGTAGAGAGTGTTCCTTTGGGGCTGGGGCTAGTGGTTGGGGTTAGGATTAGGGGGTTTGGGTTAGGGTGAGGACTAGGGGTAGGGGTGGCGGGGGTCGGGTTCCAGAGTCAGGGGTCGGCGTGGCGAAAGGGGGAAAAGGGGGGGGGGGGCGGCCAAAGGGGGGGAGGTGGGGGGGTCGGACCCCCTCCCTTTTGAAAGAGGGGGGGAGGGGCGGGGTCCCCGACGACGGATCGGGGAAAGGGGGGGAGGGGGGGGGTCCCCGACGACGGATCGGGGAAGGTGGGGAGGGGGGGCTCCCCGACGACGGATCGGGGAAGGGGGGGCGGGTCCCCCCCCCCGCCCTTGGGGAGATCCAGCGGCGCACTCTCGATGATGATGATGATGACGAAGGTGATGGTGATGGTGATCGTGATGGGAGTGGCCGTGATGGTGGTGATGATGATGATGCTGACGACGGCGATGTTAGTGATGATGGTGGTGGTGATGATGATGGTGATGACGATGACGATGACGCTTATGAGGACGAGCGCGACGAGGATGAGGATGATCATGGTGAGACGATGATCATGGTGATGGTGATGATGGTGACAATAACGATGATGGTCCATAATGGTGACGACGTCGATGCTGATTATGATATTGATGCTGATGGTGATGATGATGCTGCTGCTGCTGATGATGATGCTGTTGACGATGGTGATGGTGCTTGTGGTGGTGATGAAGATGATGATGCTGCTGATGATGATTATGGTGGTGCCAACGCTGATGCTGATGGTGATGGTGATGGTGGTGGCGATAACGATCGTGCTGGTGTTGGTGTTGGTGATGGTGATGGTGATGGTGATGATGGTGTCAACGACGAGGCCGACGATGACGCCAACGATACTGAGTATGCGGACGAGGATAACCGGCTTGCTAATGTTGAAGTTGAGGGTGAGGATGAGAACGAGGATGGTGATGGTTATGGTGGTGATGATGCTGATGACGTTGGTGATGATGACGACTATGCTGATTCTGTGGATGATGGTGTCGATGGTGACAGTGATGACGGTGACGACAATGATGATGACGATGACGATGACATTGGGCATGATGATGGTGATGTTGATGATAATGATGTTGGTGTTGATGCTGGCGCTGATGCTGATGCTGATGCTGATGCTGGTGAGGAGGATTATCATGAGGATGATCTTCAGGATGACGATGCTGAAGATGATCATCATTACCACCACCACCATCATCTTCCTCAGCATCATCATCGTCATCAGCATCATCAACAACAACAGCAACATCGTCCTCATCGCCATCGTCCTCATCATCATCATCATCATCATCATCATCATCATCTTCATCATCTTCATCATCATCAACATCATCATCACTATCATCATCATCATTATCAACATCATCATCATGTTCATTATTATTATCATTATCATTCGCATCATCATGCAACTCGTTTCGGCCGTTTTGGGGCTGTCTTGGCTTCCTGTGAGGCAGTCTTCGGGTTCCCTGGGGCCCTCTTGGGCCACCTTTGGGTCCTATAACGCGGGTTTGTCTTGGCCGTATGGTGGGTGTCTGGCGGCCGTCTTGGGGCCGTTTTGGCGCCGTATTTGCCGTCGCATGGCCTTCTAGGCCATTTTGGGTCCACGGGAGGTCCTCTTGGGCCGTTTGGGGGCCGTCTTGAATGCATATTGGGTCATCGTGGGGTCATCTCGGGCCGTCTTGAGTTGACGTTAACCCAGAATGGCGAGAATGCGAACATCAGCCAAAAACCGAAGAGAAATCAATGATTTTCATTTTTGTCTGACGCTGTTGGAGGTCTTCGTGTAGCCATTTCGGGCCCTCTTGGAAGCATCGTGGGCCATTTTGAAACAAGATTTGGCCGTCTTGGGGCCATCTGGGGCCGTTTTCGAGGCATCTTGGGCCATCTGAGTGTCCTTGGTTGCTTGCGCTGCCGTCTTGGAAGCTCGGGGCGCGTATCCATTGTTATTAACCAGGGATCGTGGCTTGGTAGCCCCTGGAGCGCTTGGGAGCAGGGCCTGATAATATGTGTCGATCCTCGAATGGATGCGCGTGGGACGGGAGGGAGGTAGCAGCGTTGCGGGAAATGCGCAATCCTCGAGTGGGCGCGCATGGAGTAACAGTTCAGGCATGCGCTGTCATGCGGGAAGTGCACCATCCTCGAGCTGGCACGCGTGGAAGGGGGGGTCAGGCAGTAGCTGCCACGTGGGAAGTGCACCATCTTCGAGCGGGGACGCGGAATGGGGGATGATGCAGTGGCGGCTGCCATGCTGGAAGTGCACCAGCCTCGAGCGGGCACGACGGAAGTGGCCTCGGTGAGCGCAGGGGGGAGGAGCGCGACCGTCCGCGGGTAGAGTTGGAAGGTTCAGGGCTCGCTAGGGTGAAGTCGGGCACGTCCCTCTGCAGGAGGTATATTCAAAATTAGTGAAAAATAGTGTGGGGAGTATTTTCTATTATTTGATTGATTGATTGATTGATTGATTGATTGATTGATTGACTATTTAAAAATATGGTTGACAATGTTAAAGTTTTGGCCCGCAATCCGCATGTAGGGGGACGTGCCCGACCTAACGCTAGGGACTGGTTTCTTGTCAGCACAGCCGAAACCTCCCTGAAGTCCTCCGAAAACCTTCCAGGAAGGGTTCCGGGAGGCTGTTCGGAGGGGTTCGGGAGGGTTCTGGAAGGGTTTTCGTCGCTTTCGGGGGGGAACCGGTCCCTCGCGAACCCTAAGCTCCCTAAAGATAGAGGGAAAGGGGGCTCTTTTTGTAGGGTACAGCCATGACCCCAGGTAAGGGGACCCAGTTAATAGTAGGGCCCCGGAGCCCCGCCAGGATCATTAAACCAGGTCTGCCGTAGCTGGTGTTTTTTCGGGCGACGGCAGTTCCGATTGGTGGGACGGGGCCTGGGGGGCACCCCCCACCCAGTCCACATCATTAAACCAGGTCCCACTAAACTTAAGTCGGGCGTGTCCCTCTACAGGAGGAATATTCAAAAACAGTCAGAAAATAGTGGGGAGATGTTTTTTTGTACTTTTTGATTGTGTGGGGCTTTTCGGGAGTACTTTTCCATTTTTCGCCCCAAATCCGCCTGTAGGGGGACAGGCCCGACCCAACGCTAAACCCAGTTCTGCCAACGCCCGAGCTTGGATGCCAGACAGCCTTGGGCACTCTTCCGCGCCCCCACGTGCCAGGAGGCACGGGGGCGGAGCGCGCGCCCTCAGATCGCGGGGCGCGAGTCGGCACCCCCTATACTCAGGTCGGGCCTGTCCCGCTACAGGAGGATTATCCAAAAATAGTCAACAAAATGGGACGGGGACGATGTCTGCAGACCCCACCTCTTCGTCATCTTTCCCAGCCGGATCGATCTGTGAGGGTCCGGGGGCCCGAAATTGGGCGACAGAATGCCCGGCGTGGAGAAGTTGCGACTCATGGGGTCGAGGTGTGATTACATCATGCAGGGGTCCATCCTCGGGCGATCGCAAACATGGGTCAAGGGGGCGTGGATCAGCGACGGGTCCCGCTTCCATGGGAAGTCACGGATTTCCGCCGCCGACCGAGGCGGCACTGGCCACATTTTGGGGAGGGCACCTCCCCCGATCCATGGATTTGGCGACCGCGCGCCAAAGCCGTGGATCGTTACGCCATGTCTGCGCGCCCCCGACATCCGGGGCGCTGCGGCACGGGCTGGCCTTGGCATCGCTCGGCGGGGTGCGTTTTTTCTCGGCGATGACCTTCGAGTAACATTAAGTCGGGCCTGTCCTTCCAGAGGAGGAATATTCAAAAATAGTAAAACAAAGTCTGGGGACGATGTTTAAACAACTGTTTAGTATGTATGAGCATTTTTTGTGTAGTTCTTTTTGTTCGTCCAAATTCCGCAGGTAGGGGGAATGGACGTCCGAGCGACGGCGAGTCGCCCTCGAGGCGTCGCGGGGCTGATGTCGTTTTTCCTGGGCGGCAGGCGGCGGTCTCGCGGAAGACGGCGGGGCAGGAAAAACCGGCGGCGGGTTCGCCGAGCTGGGCCGGGGGCGACGACAGGGTCGGGGGCGGCAAAGAGGGGGGTGATGACTAGGTATCTCCCCAGGCTTCACGGCGCCCTTTCTTGTTTCAATGCGTCCCCGGCCCCCCCCCCTGGGCCGCGCACATGCCGCCGGCCATGATTTGCGCCACCCCCCCCCTTGGGCGCCCCCCTGTTTGGCCGCCCCGAGGGGGGGATGCCCCGAATTTCTTCGATAGCAGATCATATGAGCCTGGTAGATCCTTTTAATTCCGTCTTTAGCGTCGGTTGGAGTCGATCAGCGTTTGGGAGTCGATGAGATACCGCCGACTCAGCGTCGATCTGGCGTCGATTAGCGTCGACTATCGTCGATTTGCGTCGATTCGCCAGAGCCGACAAGATGGTATGGGAGGCTCCCAGGAGATGCCACCGAAAATTTCAGAATGAAATGGCAGTGGTCTGATTTTTTTGGGAGTCTGATTCGAGCTGTCTTGGAGGGTTCCGCACGTCTGGGCAAGGGGCCGCCCTTTCATGGCTGGTCTGGGGGCGGTCTATAATTGCTCGTCTGGGAGGGTTTTGACCCCTCTCTTTTGATACGAAATTTGCAGAGGGCATAGGGGGGATGAATCAACCCCCAATCGCCCATTGATCGCCGATGAGGGCCCGATTGCCTCCCGCCGCCCAGGAATGTGCGGATTTACTATCGGTGACCTATCGCCGATCTATCGGCGATGTGTCGCCAATTCCAGGTCGATGTTCCTCCCCCGATGCCAGTCCCCTCCTATCGTTGCCCCTCACTGGAGCTTGCTGAAGGCCCGCGGTAGCCAGCGGAAGCCGGCGGAAGTGAAAGTCGGAGGGAGGGGGGGGGGCTCGCCATGGGGGAAACGTGTCCTGAAGCCATTTTGGCTCAAGCCATTTTGGCTCAAGCCATTTTGGCTCAAGTGGCGCCGCCCCCCCGGCCCGCGCGTAGGGTAATCCGCGCGCGAGGCCGCATGCCGGGCGGCCGCCGCGGCAAGCCGCCGGCTGGGGGCGGCCCCGCCGTGTCGCCGCAGCTGGGGAAGGCGCTGCTGGCCGCATGCCGGGCTGCTGGGATGCCTGGGCTGGGGGGCGGCGGGGGGCAGCAGAGGCAGCAGCGGCAGCAGCAGAAGCAGCAGAAGCAGGGGCAGGAACGCAAGGCTCCGGAGGGCCCGCGGCTGCCTCTGTGGGGCTGCTCCTGCGGGGTTGCCGACAATTGGGCTTGTCGGACTGCCTGCCGTGCATGTGGCCGCCGTGGCCCGCGCGCTGCCGTAGGGAACACGCCGCCCCCCGGAGCGGCGCGCCCTCCTCCGGCGGCTGCTGCTGGGCGGACCTGGGCGCAGGTGGCGGGTGCCGCGGGGGCACCCCCAGGCGCGGCTCAGGCGGCGGCGGCAGGGCCGCAGTCGGCGGAAGCCCCTCGCGACCCCGCTCCGGCAGCGGCGCCGACGGCTGCGGAGCGCCTCGCAGGCCTACGGGCCCGCATCGCCGCCTTCCAGCCGTTCCCGGAGTGCGCCGCCACCGTGGTGCAGTTGGAGGCGGAGGCGGCAGCCATTGTGGAAGCAGAGCGGGCTGCCCGGCCGCTCGAGCGCAGGCTGCAGTCGGCGGTGGACTCCCTGCGCACGCGGTCCGCGGCGGCCCAGAAGGCGCGGCAGGCCGCCCTGGACGCGCAGGAGGTGGCCGATCAGGCTGTCCAGGCTGCCGCGGCGATGGAGGCCCAGGCGGTGCACGCCGAGGCCGAGGAGGCGGCCGCCCAGCAGGCGCTGGTGGCGGTGCAGGCCGAGGCCGCCGCTGGAGGAGCCGCTGCGCCCGCAGGCGGGCCCAGCGCGCCTGGGGGAGGGCTCGATGCGGCCTTCGAGGCGATGGCGGCCGCGGCGTCCCCCGCCGCACAGGCCGCGGTGGTCGCTCTGCTGGCGCAGCTTCGCGGGGTGTTGGCGGCGCCGCCAGGTGGCGCAGGGCTTGTTGGGCCTGCCGGTGGTGCGGTGGCGGCGGCAGGCCCAGGCGGCGAATCAGGGCTGCACGGAGGCGCGGCGGCTGCGGCGCCGGCCGATGCGCGCATGCCTGCCGCCGATGCTCCTGGGGAGGCCGGACCTCCGCCGGCTCCGCTCGGCAGCGGCAGGCGGCGCGCGGCCTCCGCAGGCGCGAGGGCTGCGCGATGGTACTCCCCGCTCCGGGCGGGGTCCGAAGACGGCGACCGCTCCCGTTCCACGGACCGCGGAGGCTCCCCAGAGGCCCGCATTCCGCTCTTCGCCCAGCCCGCGCACCTGCCGGCCGGGCAGCGGACTCTGCCCTTGCGGCGATGCGCGCGCCTTGCCGCAGCGGCACCTGGCGGTGCATAATGGTGCCTCGCTCGCGCAGCCGTCGGCGTCGGGCACCCTGCAGCAGCCAGGGCGTGCAGGTGAGTGGTGCCGTGGAGGACCCGAATAGCCCAAGTGCAAGCTGCGGATGTGCCGCGGGGCTGCTGCTGGCCGCCGCCCGGGCCGCCACCCGCATGAGGTTGCCGGGCGAGGCTCCCGGCAACCGCCCGGGCCGCGATCGCACGAGTGCGAGCTGCGGATGCGTCGCGGGGCTGCTGGCGCTGCTCCGGCCCCTCCGGGATCCCAGGCTGCTGAGCCCTTGGAGGGGGGTCAGGGTCGGGGAGGCGCGGCGCCCTGGCCCAGGCCGCACGGTCAAGGTGCTCGTGGCCAATGTGACTCGCTGGAGCGCGAGCTGGCGCGGCGCGCTGGCAGCGCAGGCCGTCGTGTGGTGCATGCAGGAGGCCCGCATTCCGAAGCTGGAGGCGGCGGCGGCGGCCGCTGCAGCGCGTGCCCGCGGGATGCGGCTGCACCTGGGCCCAGAGCAGGATGGCGAGCACCTCCTGGCTGCCGCACACGCGCCCGGCAGTTGTTCAGCCCGGGCCGAGGCCATGTCGGGCCTCTCTGGCCGGCACCCGGGCCGCCTCCAGCACCTGGCACTTCACCTGGGAGGGAATCGTGCCGTCCACCTCCTCAACGTCTATGGGTACGCTGGAGGGCGGACCGACCGGGAGCGCAACGCCGACCTGATCCTGGAGGGCCTCGAGTGGCTCCGGGGCCTAGGCGGGGCTCCCGCGCTGCTGGTAGGCGACCTGAATTGCAACGTCGCCGAGTCGGGCCTGGAGGGCCTGCTGGGCATGGCCGGGTGGCGGGACCTCCTGGCGGCGGCTGGCCCTACGTGCATCCCCTCCGATGGGGCCCCATCGAGGCTGGACTACGTGCTGGCGAATCCGGAGGCGTTGGGGCTCGTCGAGCGGGTCGGCATCCGGTGGGACCTTGGGTTCGCCACCCACGCGGCCCTCTGGGTGGAGTTGCGCGCGTCGGCCCCGGAGCAGGCGCCCCGTGCAGCGTCTCGACGGCGATGCCATTGAGGGCTGGGGGGCGCGGGAGGCCCGGGAGGCCGCCGCCGCGGTGGTCGCTGGCTTCGGCACGCCCTTCCACGGCGCGCTGGGGCGGCACGACGTCGAGGCGGCATGGCAGTCGCTCCGCTCGGCCATGGCGGCATGGTTGGCGAGTCGGCGGGGGCTCCCAGCAGCTCCGCCCCGGCCCCATGCGGCTGCCACGGCGGCCGCCGATCGGCCGCCGACGAGAGGGGGGGGGAGGCGACGCCGCGGATATGCAGGCGGACGCTGCCCTCCTCCGCCTTCGCCGCCTGCGCGGCCTCCGTCACGCGCAGCGGAGGGCCCCATCGGCGCGCGAGGTCGCGATGTCCACGCTGATGGCGCTGCGGCAGGCCGACGCCGACCATGCGGTCTGGCGGGCGGCGCTGGCAGACCTGCGACCGGACGTGGAGCTCCCGGCCACCTTGCTGGAGCATGCGGAGGCCGAATGGCGTGCCGCCCAGGCGGCAGCGCGATCCCAGCGCAGGCAGGAATGGCGCCGCTGGGCCCAAGAGAGTTTGGCCAACGCGCAGGGCCGTCTCTATCGATGGATCCGAGGCGGGTCGATTCTCGAGGCAGATTTGGTGCCCGACCCGGCGGCTGGCGCGGCGGCCGCAGCAGCCGGAAGCCGGAGCTGGCTCCTGGCGCTCCGTGGCGGCCCAGCGGCGCGCCTCCGCCACTTCGAAGGGCCGTGGCGCGCACTCTGGCAGCGGCAGTCGGCGCCGCCGCTGGGCGAGGAGTGGCTTCAGGCTTTGGATGGCCTCCCAGCGTTCCCCGAGCGGGTGCCCTGGACGGCGGAGACGGTGTCCTCGCTGCTTCGCCGCATGCCTCGGCGGAAGAAGCCGGGTCTAGACGGGTGGACCGTGAAGGAGCTTCGATTGCTGCCTCCGGAGCTGCACGGGTGGATCGCCGAGCTGTTCGAGGAGATCGAGGCCTGCGGGAGCTGGCCTAGCGAGCTGGTGGAGCCGGAGGGCCTCCTGCTCCCGAAGCCCGGGGGTGGCGCAGACCCCATGGACAGGCGCCCGATATGGCTCCTGCCCATCTTGTACCGCCTGTGGGCGGCAGGCAGGGCCCGCCTGTTCGCTCGGTGGCGCCTGCGGTGGGCCGGCGAGGAGGTCCAGCGAGGAGCAGAGGAGCTGGCCTGGGAGCTCGCGCTGGAGCTGGAGGCGGCGGAGGCGCTGTCCGAGACGATCGCCGGGGCGGCGCTCGATTGGCGGAAGGCGTACGACCACATCGACTTGGCCTCCCTGCCGGGCATCCTGGCGCGTGCCGGGTGTTGGCCCCAGCCCTGAGGGCCTACACGGCTCCGCGCCGGATCCGGGTCGGGCGCGCCATCGGCGAGGCATGGCAGCCCGCGCGCGGGCTGCTGCCCGGCTGCGCCTTGGCCGTTTTCTTCCTGAGCGTCCTCGCGCTGCCGTGGCAGCGGCGCACGGGGGAGCTGGACGACCGGCTACGGCGGCGTATCTACGTCGACGACTTCACGCTGTGGGCGCGGGGCGGCCAGGGCGAAGCCGGCGAGGTGGCGGAGTCGGTCGCCAGCGCATTGGCCATCACTGCCGAGTTCGAGCTCGCCGTGGGCTGGCGGCTCAATCGCGACAAGAGCCGGCAATTCGCGAACACCGCGGCGCTCCGCAGATGGCTGGCGGCCCAGACCCCTCTGATCCCTGCCGGGCGGCAGTTCCGTGACCTCGGGGTGGTCGCCGCCGCGGGCCGGGTGCCTCGCTGCGCCGTTGCCGGCTCCAGGGCGCGCGCAGCTGGAGTGCGGTTTGCGCGGATCGGGCGGCTCCCCTTGGAGTTCCGACACCGATGCATGCTGGGCGCTGCTGCCGGCACTTCGGCGGGGTTGCACGGCGCCTCGCGCGGCCGCCCACCTGCGAAGGAGCTGGCCGGGCTGCGGGCGGCTGCGCGGCAGGCTGTGTGCCGAGGCGGATTCCGCGCTGCCGCAGAGGTGGTCTTTGGGGTCCTGAGCCCGACGTGGCGGCTGGACCCAGCGGCGGTCGTCGCCCTCGCGCCGTTGTGGCAGGCGTCGAAGGCGCTCCGCAGAGGGCGCTTTCCTTTGGCACTCTGGCGGGCCACGGACGGAGCCCGCGCGGCCGGGCACGGCCGCGGCGCCGGCCCTGTCGCCGCGGCCGCCTGGAGCTTGGCGCAGCTCCGCCTCGGCGACGACGTCGAGCGCTGGACCGGCGTCCCTGCTTGCCCAGACGGGTGGCGCCCGGCCGACCAGCCGCTCCAGGCCACGCGCGCTGTGCTCCTCGAGGCATGGGCGCGCAGGGAAGCGGCTGCCGTGGCAGGCAGAAGGGCTGACTTCGCGCATGTCGCGCGCGGGGTGGACCGCTGGGCAACCAGGCGGCTGCTGGAGACTGGGGCCCTCGCGCCGGACGCGGCAGGGGCCTTGCGCGCAGTGCTGTCTGGGAACGTCGTGACAGAATCGGTGGCGGCGAAGTGGGGCAAGCCGGCCAGATGCCCGCACTGCGGCGCCGCCTGCGAGGATCGCGAGCACCGCTTCTGGGTCTGCCCAGCCTGGGGCGCCGACAGGGCCGCCGCCCTGGCGACGGCGCGGATCTCGCAGGCCGCGCTGCGCGCGCGGCTGCCGCCGGGCGTGGCGAACACGGGCGTGCTGGCGACGGATGTCCGGCTCGCCGCCCTCGCCGAGGAGGCCACACGGGCTCTGCCGCTAGCCCCGCTCCCGGCGGCCCAGATGCCCGTGCCGCCCCAGTCGCGCAGGAGGGCTTGGACTGACGGGGCGTGCGAGCGGCCACAGGACCCGCTGATGGCCCGGGCGGCTTGGGGGCTGCGCCTGGAAGGACCCCGCGGCACGAGCGACCACAGCGGGCCGGTGGACGCGGCGCAGACCGCGCAGCGGGCTGAGCTGACCGCCGCGGTCCAAGCTGTCAGCCTTGCGGGGGCGCCCGTAGAGGTCACCGCGGACTCCCGCTACGTCCGCAATGGCGTTGCCGCCCTGCGCGCCGGCGCGTGCTACCTCGACTGGACGCGCTCCGACCTTTGGGAGCGAGTCGCGGAGCACAGCCGGAGCGGCTTCCTCACGGCGCGCTGGGCCAAGGGCCACACGACTGCCGAGGAAGCGCTCGCCCGGGGGCTGTCCGCTGAGGACAGGGCGGGCAATGCGGCCGCCGACCGCCTGGCGGGAGAAGCGGCCAGGGTCCGCCTCCCCCCGCCCGCGCTCTGCTTGGAACGCGACTTCCAGCTGACGGCGCTGGCCGCGGCGCAGCGCGTGCTCGCCGCGATCGAGCTGGCGGCCTTGCGAGCCAACCACGAGGGCCGCGGGCCCGAGGGCCCGCGCGTGCGCCGCCGCTGGACGGCCGCGCGAGGGCCCCGCGCCGCCAGGAGGGCTCAGCCGCCGCCCGCGGCGCAGGCGGCGCCGGCCCCCCCTCCGCCGCCGCGCCGGCGGACCCGGGCAGCGATTGAGGCCGGCGGGGCCGGCGCGCCTCCTGCGCCGGCCGAGGCAGCGCGCGCCCTCTTCGCAGGCGCCGCATGGAGGGTGCACGCAGCTGCGCAGGGCCCGGGCTGGGTGGCGTGCCTGCGTTGCGGCGCTTCGGCGGCGCGGTGGGCGCAGCTGTCGGCGAGGCCCTGCCCGGGGTGGGCGCTGGCGCTGCCCCCGCGGGCGGCGATGCTGCTGCTGACGCCGGCGGTGCGTGCCGGCGGTGGCTCGGAGGCTTGGCGGGCCGCCTTGGAGGCGCGGCTGCGGGCTCGGCCGGGGCCGCCAGACTAGTTAATTCGTAATTCGGTGCGCCTCCTCCCCCCTCCTCCTCCTCCTCCTCCTCTCTCTTCAGCCGCGGGGCGCCCTGTTCGCATCGTAAAAAAAAGTGTCCTGAGGGAAACGCGGGTCCTGAGATTTTCCACCGTTTTTACCTTCCCTCGGGCCCTCCACGCCGGGAGTGGCAGAAAACGATTCGTTACAAAGATTTGGTTCTGGGGCAAGGCCCCAGGGTCCGGGACCTGTTTCTCTCCAGACACGCTGTCCCCCATGCGAAAGTTGCCCTTGCGGAGCCGTCCTCCTGCTGGAGTGGGCGTCGGGGCGGGGGTGAGGCACGAAGATACCCACCCGCCATTGTCAGGAGGGGAATAAACACACAGACACAATGAATCGTCGATTCTCCACAAAATATAAGAAACAAATGGGAAGTGGGGGGAAGACAACAACCAAAACAAATATTGGAAAATATGGGGAATCCTGTTACTTGTGTCTATTTATTTGTGTTTCCCAGGGCCCCTTCACATTGCTCGCTCTTCGTTTCGTGGTTTGGCATAACTAGTGGGTCTACCAGCACCGTCCTCATGGTAGTCTAGAGCCCCACACGAGACCTCCTGAGCCAAATGGTCATTGGGGGTAGTGCATGTCAAAAAGGAAGCCGGCGGAAGTGAAAGTCGATCCCCCTCCCACCAACGAGACAACATGTTCAGATTCCGGGTTTTCATAACGGCCCATTTCAATCCGACCGATCCGATTCGATATCTAGCATGTGGGCTGGCCCGATCCGGCTCCGGGCGGCGCACGGACAGCCCTCCGGGAGGCAATCCCTGGTGCCCCACGTACATCGGGCCGGGCGAAAGGGGGGGATTGGGAAAGGGGGGGTTACGAAATTTGCTGCATGCAGCTGGTTTCGGCCTCACCGAGGGGCCCATTCCTCGATACATAGCCGCCTCCGGCGCCGGGAGGCGCCGGGAAAATCAGCTACGTGAGCTGATTCTCAAACCCCCCCTTTGCTATCCCCCCCTTTCGCCCGACCCGAGTACAGCACCAAACGCCCAGGGCAGACTCGAGCGGCATCAGCGTCCCAGCTCTGGGGCGGTGAGGCGCCCTGGGGTCGCACACCGGCGGCGCCGCCGAGCGGAGTGGGCTACAGAGATGGAGTGCAGTGGGGCCGAGGCATGTGATCGGGGTCGGCTCGGGGAGGGTGCCGTGGTGCTCCCCGTGTTTGCTGGGCGTCTCGTGCATCCCTTGGGAGGGTGCCCTTGGGCGTTCTGTGTGCTCTGGCCGACGGAGGGCCTCCTGCTCCTCCTCCTCCTGCTCCTCCAACTCCTCCTCCTCCTCCTCCCCCTCCTCCCCCTCCTCCCCCTCCTCCTCCTCCTCCTCCCCCTCCTCCTCCTCCTCCTCCTCCTCCTCCTCCTCCTCCTCCTCCCCCTCCTCCTACTACTACTACTACTAGGTCCGACTGCACAGCAAGTGGAGTGCGGTGAAGACGTCGACCTGCCAGCGGGTGCCCCTGCGGACATCTCTTGTCCCCCCGCTGGCCTCGGCCCTGGGGCTCGCAGGAGCTCCGGGGCACCTCGGGGACCCTCAAGCCTCGAGGAGCGGCGAAGAGCGTGCCCCGAGGCTTCTCCTCTGGCTGCCTGCGGAAAGTCCCGCCACCGTGCCGGCCCAGCATGCAGGATGGCGGCAGTTCGTGGGGGGCACGGGAGGCCGTCGCGTGTGGCGCTTCGTGTCGTCTCCAGGCTTGGGAGATCCGTTCTGATAAGGAGGAGGTTTTTGAGATGGTGGTGATGGTGATGGTGGTGATGGTGATATTCTTGATGATGGCGAAAACGAGTATGATGATGATGCTGCTGATGATGATTGTGTTGATGATGATGATGATGATTATGATGATGATGCTGATGATGCTGATGCTGATGCTGATGATAGTGAGGATGATGATGGTGATGATGATGATGATGACGATGATGGTGATGGTGATGGTGATGGTGATGATGATGATCATACCATTGATGTTGATGCTGATGCTGATGCCGTTGCCGATGCTTATGCTGATAGTGATGATGCTGCTGATGATAATGATGATGATGATGCTGTTGATGATGATGATGCTGATGATGATGATGATGATGAGGAGGAGGAGAAGGAAGGAAGAGGATGAGGATGATGATGAGGATGCTGATGCTGATGCTGATGCTGATGCTGATGCTGCTGATGATGCTGATGATGACGAGGAGGAGGAGGTAGAGGAGGTGGAGGAGGAAGGTGACGGCCGTCACATGTGACACATTCCGTCTTCGCTATTTGATGAGCTCTCATGGAACTCGTTTGGGCCGTTTGGGACTGTCTTGGCTTCCTGCGAGGCAGTCTTGGGGGTCCCTTGGGACCCTCTTGGGCCGTCTTGGGGCCCTCTGAAGCCGTCATGAGGCTCTCTTTGGCCGTGTTGGGGGCCCTTTTGGCCGTACGGTGGGGTTATTGTGGCCGCCGTGGTGCCGTCTTGGACCCGTCTTGGGCCGTCGAAGGGCCTTCTAAGACAGTCTTGGTTCCCGCGGGAGGTCCTCGTTGGCCATCCTGGGCCATCTTGGGGCCGTCTTGGGTACCTCTTGGGCCATCGTGGGGTCCTCTCGGGCCATCTTGGGATCCTCTTGGGGTCCTCTTGGGCCGTCCTGGGGCCATCTTGGAAGCTTCTTGAGCCGTCTTGAGCTCATGGAGCCCGAACAGGCGAGAATGCGAACATCATCAAGCATCAAAGGGGAATCAATGATTTGGGCTTCTTCGGGCCTTCCAAGGCCGTCTTGATTCCCGCGTGAGGCCCTCTTGGGCCGTCTTGGGGCCCTCTTGGGCCGCCTTGAGGCCATCTTGGGCCGTCTTCGAGACATCTTGGGACATCTTGATGTCCTTGGTTGCCTGCGCGGGCCCTCTTTGGAAGCTCGGGACACGGATTTGAAAGGAGATCGTGGCCTCGGGAAGGGGGGCCTGACTAGAATTCAAAAGCATTTCGTAGCAGCACCCAGCTGGCACTTTAGCACAACGCAACGTGCCAGGCATCCCATAGGTTGGCAGGCTGCGGCGTCTACACACCGAGCGCCTGGGCGCTCGGCCGACCAGACGACTCGGTGTCTACTTCGAGCCCCTCCCGCATCCGCCGCGTGCAGTTGGTTTCGGCCCCGCCGCCGTGCGCCTCGTCCTCGATTCAGGGAAGCCTCCCGGCGCCGGGAAGCGCTAGGGAAGCCAGCGGAAGCTGGGGCGGAGGGTCAAGAACAACCGCGGCTCTGGAGGGACAATTGCCCTCGCGCTCTTCTTGTTTGGGGTTCTCCGCTCTGGGATGCACTCCGCGTGGGCTATCTATCTGCACGAGCTGCATCTGGCACGGAGCCTTGGGCAAAGGGGCTCGTGTTCTTGACCCTCGTTCTGGTGGCCACGTCCCGAATGTACTTGAACTGAGTTGGCCCCAAATTTGTGAAGCAGTGGCGAAGCGTCCTGGCTTGCCTGTAGGCCCACCAAAGAATGTTATGTGAACTGTTGTGCCGTCTGCACGAAATATTCTTAGAACATTTCTGGCTGAAGCTGTCCTGTTTTGACACATCGGGTTTATGTACTACAAGTATCGTTTTGTTCTTAGAACATTGTTCGGTTCTACGAACATCCCGTGGCAGGCTGGAACGAGCGGTTTCTGCTCAGCTTTGCTAACCCCTCTTTCGTCCGACTTCGCTGGGGTGGTGTAGTTGCGGCTGCGGTTGCCTCGCGCAGCACTGGCCGCCGCGCGAGAAAAGCGTTCCCGCCCCGCGACCATGTGCCAGCCCTACAAACTGCGGGTCCGATCGGCGGAGGATGGGCAGTCGAGACAACGGCCGCCCTTGACGACGTCTTTCGGTGTTTCGGACCTCCCAGAGGCTTCTCGTCGCCACGGCTGTATCCGCCTCGAAAAACAAGTCAGGATGGACCCCAGGAGTGATCTCGGACAGATTTCCAAGGGAGGAAACACAATCCGGACTGGACAATTGGCGTTTTCTAAACGGCCTTGGGCGTTGACTGAACAGCCTTGCCCTGTTCGATTCCTTCTGTGGGTGCGTTTGCTAAACGGCTTCGCGTGTCGGGGTGATCATTACCGGGGTGGATTTTCTGCCCTCTACGGTAGGTTTGCGTCGTGCCGACCAGCGGCGACCCCAGCGTGGGCGTTCAAGGTTGAACGCCGCTGGCGACCCAGAATCGATCGACGTTGAACGATCGGACGTTGCGGCAGCGGCCGCTCGTTCAAGGTTGAACGATCCCTGCGGTGTCAGAAACCAACGCCGGGGTCGGCACGACACGGACCTGCCGTAGATTTGTAGCGAATCCGGGCGAAGTCGGAGAGCTGCCGGTGCCTCCATTTGTCCTCTGCCGATGCCGGCGCCGGGGCGCCGGACACCCCGGTGGGGCGCGCTCGGCTGCGGAAGGCTATCAGATGCCAGCCCCCGGGGGGGCCTTCCATCGGCGCTGGGCCTCCCTGGCGGTACCTCCCGCGCCTCCCCAGGGCGCGCTCCCGTCGCCAGGGAGGCGGGTGCCACCCCGACCCAAGAGTCAAAGCAAAACGCCGTGAGAGGCACGGGGAGCCCGCTCGACTGGGGGGAGCCCTGCCTGTGGTGGTGTGGTGGCCGTGCTGTTCTGCTATGTCGGACCGCCTTTCTCCAAAAAGAGATCCGCGCGGGCCTCTGAAAGTTTGTTATTGTGTATGTGTTGTTGTCTATGCATGTATGTATGCATGCATGCAAGTATGTACGCATGTCTACGTAGCACCCCGCAGATGCGGATAAGAGTGAGGGGACGGTGTGGACGTCGGCAGTTTGCGAGACTCTGGAGAAGCTCGCCGCAGGCGCCAAAGCTTCACAAATTATCAAAGTGAGGGGGCTGAACCGAACGGTCATTCACTGTCCCTGGGTGCGTGGCTGAAGTGGAATTCCGCGATGCGGATTCTTGTTGAACTCTCATTTCTGAAGAATTATTATTGTTGATCCCCCCCACCGGTGCATACGGTTTTTTCTAAATCAAAGTGTGCTCCTCGACGCTCGCGCCCTGTTTTCTGACAGGGAAAATCTTCCTGCTCAAACTGGCCCCCTGGCCCCCAGGTTACAACAACAACGGCTCCCGCTTGAGATCCTTACAATTTAGCCAGGACCCCCGTTCCCGCCCGAGACTTCTTCGCATTTTCTTCAGGAATCGCGCTCTCGCTTGGGACTTCCTTACAATCTATTCAGGAATCGCTCTCCCTGCGCTCTGGGGTCGTGCTCTCGCTGAAGACTTGCTTGCCATTTACTGAAGAATGGCCTTGCGTTGGAATTTCTTGCAGTTTGCCCAAGCGCCGCGCTCCCGACACCCAGGCACCCAGGAGTCGCGCCCGTTGTGGTCCCATGTGCATGCCTTTCGTGGCCCCGCTGTCGCCATTTGTGTCCCCCTTATTGTCCTACGAGGCCCAGTTGCTACCCTCAGTGGCCCCATAGTTGCCTTCTGTGGCCCCGCATTATCTGCACTTCGTGGTCCCCGCTCGTTCGCGCTCTTCGTGGCCCCATACGCATTCCCTTCGTGTCCGCGCTGTCGGTCGCCCTCCGTGGCCTACTTCGTGCCCTTCGCGGCCCTGCTGTCGTTCTCTCTCGTTCTCGCTTTCGCTCGTCCTCGCCGTCGTCGTCGTCGCCGTCGTCTTCGACGTCGTCGTCGTCGTCGTCGTCGTCGTCGTCGTGGTAGTCGGTCCACTGTCCGTCCCTCTTGGGGTCGGGTCGACGGTCCGCGGCCGCCCCGCCGATCAGCGCTGCCGCTGGCCAGGCCGACGGTCCGCGGGCGCCCCGCCGCTTGCCTGGGCCCGGCCTGCAGGGCAGAAAGGTATACCCCCAAAAAGGGGTTCGATCGAAGACGAAGAGGGCGGGTATCGAGGGTTTGGGAAACACGCGTTATTGGACACTCGAGCATATAAGGGCGAACAGTCTTAAAAGTATTGTTGTTGTTGTTGCTGCTGCTGTTGTTTGTTGTTTGTTGTTTGTTGTTGTCGCCGTCCCCCCCGCGATCCGCCCCGCGACCCACCCGCGACCCACCCCGCGACCCACCCGCGACCCACCCCGCGACCCACCCGCGACCCACCCCGTGACCCACCCGCGACCCATCCGCGACCCACCCCGCGACCCACCCCGCGACCCGCCCGCGACCCACCCCGCGACCCACCCGGCGACCCAACCCGCGATTCACCTGCGACCCAACCCGCGACCCACCCGGCGACCCAACCCAAATTTTCGGCGCCTGCGGCGGGCTTCTTTTGCATGCTTTCCAGGTGGAGGTAGAGAGCCCGCGACCCACCCGCGATCCAAACTGCGTTCACTGAACA